TATTTAAAAAACCTTGTTCTTGGTCATTTACCTTTGGCAGGAAACTAAGGGAGTTTTTCCATAGGACACCTCATACCTGGCATGACACCAAATGAGTTTTTGATAGGACAAATGTCTTATTTGCATGAGGAGGAAACCATCCCAGGAATTTTTGATACAAAAAACCCCTTTCTCCTTATTCTGGGTGTGTGTGTGGGGGGCACTATATCCTTACCAGGGTACTACTCTTGCCCTTTTGCATCTTTAATAAACGTACATCTTCCCTGCCTTTTCAGTGTCTTGTCCAAGTCTTTGTTCAGGACCTCAAGAACCTGGAAAGAATCCCCAGGGAGCCTACCATCCTAAGACTGGGACTTACTCATCTTGATCAAGGTAAAGCCACTAAACAGTGGTCTGTACAGAGTGAGGCTTCAACAAATGTTTGTTCATTTGAATCTAGTTTGGCAGAAAAAAATCAGTTCTTAAAGTTAGTCCACATCAGGCTAAGTATGTTATTGTTTATCCATAGGCATCATTTCCTTCATAATGTAGCATTTTAAAAAAAATCCAAAGGTCATGATTAATCTTCAGAAAGACATTTTGTATTTTACCACCCAAGAGCGCTACGGTTCTTACTAGACTTCTATAATCAGGGCTTTATTTCCCTGGTAATCCTGAAGCATCTCACTTTATCCGGGAGGAGAACAGTTAGTGAAGAAAAGTACTGGCCTTTGTGAGTTTTCGTAGCTCCTGAACTTGGTAAATTGCTTAATTCTTTTTTCCTAGTTTGGGTGCTGATTTTGTCTTTTACTGCGTGTATAGTGCCATCTTGTGGTCGCAGAGCATACAGCGGTCACATTTTCTCTAGTACTGCTGGGGTTATGATTTTTGGGTGTTCACAAGCTTCCATGGCTGTGCTTCTGTTATCCCATGTTTTTCCACACTGGGGATCAAATACAGAGCCTCCTGCATTTTGAGCAAGTGATTTCTAGATCTAGAAGGTTCCTGAAGGAGATCAATATCCTATTCTAAGTATGTTTGTTTAGCAAAATTCAAGTTGGTTTTAGACTTCTGGAGACACAGGGATGGCTCTGGAAACCTGTCCTTTTGTAAAAAGAAATACACAACTACAGTATTTATCATTACTAAACAATGAATGCAGCAGAGATTTTTTCCATAATATTGCACCCCTGTTTTCTGACTGGGGAAGAACTTCCTGTTGGAAGAAGAGGTTGGGGGTCTGACTTCTGGCTCAGATAGAGACAGATGACCGCAGGTGGTTTTTCCTGGGAGATCTCATTTACAAGAGGAAATAGCCCTTTCTTGCTCTGCACCTCTTCCGCCTAACCTTCCTTCCACTGGAAGCCTGCCCTCCTTCCTGCCCATCTTTCTGCCCACCTTGCATCTGCCAGAAGCCCATGTCCCAGCCCACTATTTAGCTCTGTATAAAGTTCTGCCATCTTGCCCCTTTGAGTCTCAGACTTTGTGTGTAGCTTTAGTGGTTATGCACGTTAATAAATTGGTATGCTTTTTTCTCTGTTAATCTGTGAATTATCAGTTGATTTCATAGATTAAAACTACTCAATTTTCAGAGTAAATTTAAAATTCCTGTATGTCCCCATTGAATCTTTCCATGATGATAGAAATATTCTACCTAGATTTATGCTGTTCAGTTGCTAGCCACTTGCCACATAAACATAGCTTGAGAATGTCAGTACCAATCTGAACAGAAAAAAAAATGCAGAGACAAACTTGGCTGCGCACGCCTGTAATCCTAGCACTCAGGAGGCTGAAGCAGGATGATCACTGCAAGTTTGAGGCCAGCCTGGGCTACATAGTGAGTCCAAGGTCAGCCTGAACTACAAAGCAAGAGTCGGTCACAAACAAACGAACAAACAAACTGAACAAGCCTTTCACCAGCTTTATAACCAGGACTCTTTTTGAAGGACCTGGGCCACCTCTTTGAAAGCCAAACACTAAAGATAAAGATAGCACCTTACTTCCCCTCTCAATGGGTGTCAAACTCAAGACTGTAACTAGCTACCTATCATAGCGACCAAAGAAGTTTTATTGTTTCTTTGGATAAGGCAATTAGCCAAGAATGTGTCCAACCAAGGGCACTGGCAGATGTACTCACCTGAGGACAGGACCCTCCTTCGTCTTGTGAACACGTTTTGCTTGGCTGTCCAAAAAGGAGAGTTTTTCCTCTTAGCAATTTCTTTATGGGTTCCAATGATGCACTTCACATTCCGGCTTAATGCTTATTTAACAATAAAACTGTTTCCTCTCTCTTTTACCTTTATGTAAAGGTCTTCTAGGTTGGTAGGAGTTTTTGTTTTTAATTATATTTGCTCAGCAAGAGCAACCAGCTAAACAATCAACACACAGAGGTGCAGTTTAAGGTCAATGGAGGGTCCAGGGTGCAAGCCTAAAATACTAAAATACACAACACAAAAAAGAAAGCACAGTAGAAGGAAAGATAAGTGAAAAAGCAGATGGGACAAAGAGAAAACAAGTACTCAAACATGGCTTAAATTTAACCATGTGAATAATTGCTGCAAAGCTTTCCATTAGAAGTTAGTTTCAGATTGGATAAGAAGCTAAGATCTGCCTATATGCTGCTTATAAGAAATGCGCTGTAAATTCAAAGGGATAGACAAGTGGAAAGTAAAAGGAGCAAAAAGATAAATTACAGAAACACTAAGAAAGCTGGTGTGGCTATTTTAATGTTAGGCAAAGTGATTTCCAGACAAAGAAGATAATTGGGCCAGGGATTTAGCTCAGTGGTTCCATCGCCTGCCTCGAAAGCGCAAGGACCCAAGTTCAGTCCCCGGTACCAAGAAAAAAAAAAAGACAGACAAAGAAGATAACCAGAGGTAACAATAAAAAGGTCAACTCTTCAGGAACACCATCATCCTAAATGTGTTTGTATTTAATAACAACAGGTAAAAAGTCTCAAAATACAAGAAGTAAAGGAAGAATTACTGTACAGGGGGAAATAAAACAACAATGGGTAGAAGATTCTAACAGTCCTTTCTTAACAACTAATAGATACAGTAGAGAAAAAATAAAAACCAAAAAAGCAACCAGTAACGATGTAAAAGATCTAACTGTACTAAAAGAGATTTTGATGTGCTAAAGATGGAAGATTTAGTTATCTGGAACACTCCAATTTCTAGGTGATGCTTTATGAGCAACGTCTTCCTTTGTTGCATGTTTTGACTCAGTGGTGATTGGAATGTGGCCTGCAGAGATCAACTAAAAGCTGCTCCCTTGTGCCACTTGGGGTCTTCCTGCTGCTGGATGCTTGATGCACTCGTGTTGCGAAATCCTCATTAATGTACTCTGAAGTACTGGCTGAGTGGGAGACCCGAATGTGCCTCCCCAGACAGGACTTTCTAGCATAAGGATTACTCTGGGCTGATTATTAGAGAAACTGCAGACACAGGCAAAGCTCAGAAGACAGAATACGTTTTCCTTTTGCAAGGGACACTTATGTAAGGAAAATGTCCAGTTGAAAAGTCCTTCTTTCTGTGTGGGGAGAGGAAAACTCTAAATCACAATTTGTCAATGAAGATGGGACTGACAAATCTACATGTCAAACCTCACTTTTCTTAATGGTCTTCTTATAACTTTCTCTCTGCCAACAACCTGGAACCCTCTTTTTGTGTTTTAGCCCAAGTTGAGTATATGCTGCTAAACTTAATTTGGCTCGAGGCTGCCTCTGTACTGTGAGTCCCTATATAACCCACAGCCACCTAGCTTGGTAGGTAAATAAACTGAAAGCCTAATTTATTTATTTTTTATTTTAAAATTAATTGTATTGGTACATTTTAGGTACACAATATAATGACATTCATCATTGGAAATTTGCACCTTTAAATAATCTCTCCTGGTTCGTATTTTTTCCCCATCTCCCCACCCTTCCTTCAACCCCTCCCTCCCTCCCCATTTACTGAAAGCCTAATTTAAGAGTATGTGGGTTTTTTTTTGCAACAAATAGCTGAGTCTCAGGAAATCAGAGGCCACCACTTGATTAGAGCACGTTCAAGAAAGGCAAATGCTAAGCAGTAACCAAAAGCTCTTTTTGTAGCTCGCTTCCATGTTGTCTTTAAATCTGCCTGTCCACTTTGCAGAGCAGAATTCCCTGAACCTCTTCTGGCACCAGGACTACCCAATTTCTCGAGTTGTTGTTCAATTAAGAGGTTGACTTTATTTATAGCTTTTCAGTAAACCATATAAACCTGTTTTCACCACCTCTGTGAGTTGGTCATTCGAGTTTCTCCCCTGCATGTGAGTTATACATACTAACAGACTTCCTCTCATTAATCTGTGTTTTGTCACCGAGTCCTTGGTGAACCTGGAAGGGTAAACGACTACAAGCAACTACAGCAGCCTCTTAAACATTGTAGAATTTCATTTCTTTGGGTCAGAGGTGTGAACTTTCTGTGGCCAAATGCAATAGGTTTCTCCTGAGTCACTTTGTGGGCAGAGTGATCTTGAGTTCCTTAGGAACAAGGCTGCCAGGTCTGGGTAAGAGATACAAGGTACCTAGTTAACTTTCCAATTTCAGGTAAACAACAGAAACAGTTGATCCCTAGCTTTGAGGGTTCAACAGTCCTATGGTGTGAAACCAATATGCATTCACTAGACACTACTAGGATGCTTGCTAGGCTGGGAGTACTCAATGTATTTTTGATTTATGATATTTTCAATTAATGATTGGCTTATGGGGATGTAACTCCATCATAAGACAAGAAGCATCTGTACTTTTGTTTTTACTACTGGATATACAACAAAAAATTCGTTATAGATCTAAAATTCATATTTAACCTGGCCATCTTATATTCTACCCTACGTAGGAAGAGAAACAATGCTCTTTCAAAGTGGGTGGCTGTATATAGATCTAATGAACTGACAAGGTGAAAGAAACACCTGCCTTTAGCGTACACTCTCCCCTAACAACCTAGCTGTATTCCTTGTAAAATTGGACTGGCCAACAAGAAGGCATGAAGACAGGATTGCTCCAAAGGTAGCCTTTTATTTAAATATACAAATATAATCTCCCAAGGAACAAATGTAAAAACCAATGCAAGTCACCTTTTCAGAAACAAACAAACAAATCATTTAGAACACACGAGAAACAGGTTAGGGTTTTAAGCCCGCCCAAGGAGGAAGCTGAGACCATGTTTCGTTTCCTCTGAGAACACAGGTCATATTTACCCTTGCACACTGTGGAGATAGGTACTCCTGTTGCAGACTTGGCAAAATATGTCAGACTACAACTAAAAAAAAAAAACCTCACGAAAATCACTAAATAGAGCATAAACAATTCCAGATCATGGAAGAAGAGTGACCTTCATCTTACCACAGCTTACAATGTCTAAAAATATTTGCCCTTACAGTGAGTGAACAGTGCTAAGTCCTTTTATAACACAATTCAAGTAAACAATATTTTTAAAGATCTACCAAAGTATAACTTTAAAGTTTCAATTCCTTAGCAAATATCTCAAAAATCAAGAAATTAGACAGTATTCAAAAATTATGAACATTATTTTGTGGTTGGAAATATTTCTATTAATTACTAATATCCATATATATTTTGAAACATTTCTGTTTCTGGGAGTAATAAAATACAATCTTATTTAGGAGCCAAACAACCTACATAACTTTTTAATTTTTTTGTTTTTTTGAGACAGGGTCTCACTATGTAGTTCAGGCTGGCCTTAAACTCACTATGTATCCCAGGCTGATCTCACAGCGATCCTCCTGCCTCAGCCTCCTGAGTGCTGGTATTACAGGCATGTGCCACCATGCCCAGCTATATAACTTCTTTAACAAACAAGGCAAGGGCACTAAGCAAAATCAGGTAAAATATTTAAGGTCCTTATGATATTCACTACTCCTGTACTAAGTCATGACCAGCTAGTTAAAGCCTTTGAGACATCAAAATAAAATCATAATTTGAAACTCATAACTATAGAAATATATAGTGTTTTAATATTTTTGGCAATGGTACATAATGGTTTATAAAATTTAGTTTAATTCCACAAATATTTCTTTGGCACTCATGTGAGTCACAGAGGATATAAGGCAGTGAAATAGGCACTATTTCTACCACAGGGAAGAATACGGCTGGTTAATTTAGCTGCACTAAACTGCAGCTACTAAGAACATAGCTAGAATATTATTATTATTATGAGTAAAATTATATTATAGTTACAAATGTTGTCCTGGATTATTCAATTGAATTTGAAGTGTTCAAAATTTTCATGACTATTGAAGACAGGAAAATAAAATGCCATTTTTCAGAGCACATGACATTATGTACATGTACATGTCACATGGACAGAAACTTGGATTTTCTTTTTTTTTGTTTTTATAAACTTTTTTTAATTTATTTTTTTGGATTTTCTTAATATCCCAGCATTCAAAAATATAATTCACTTCACACAAATTAAAAGAAAACCAACAACAAAACTGGGATCCCAGACTGTAGTGGATCCTTGGATAAATGAGTTGTCAACAATCTGCTAGGTGCAGTAATGGACAGAATACAGCATATCAATGTAAAATATTAATAGGGTTCACGAAGAGACCCAATCGTTTTCCCGGTTTGCTCTCCTGGACGGTGGTGTAACTCGGTAAATTCTCAGGAGCCAGATTTACTCTATTTTGTTTTGTGACTATTGTTTGCATAACTCACTAAAGGCACTTAAGAAACAGCATCATCACAAGGCCCACTGTGATTCATGAAGCGCTTCTAAAATACAGTCCCAGAAGCAGAGATGGTGTGGACCTTTGAGTATTAGTGACGGAGAAAAAATTTAAGCTCAATGCATATGTTTCTGCATGTCTGTGAGGCTCATGAAGAGCCAGGCAGGTGGAAAATATGCCTGTAGCCACTGAGTCTGTGGCTGGCCGCCGCTTAGGCATAAGAATGCTGCACAGTACTGTGCTTGGTGACCCTGGTGGAGGACGTGGTTATGGTAGAATCTGAATGGCCAGATCCTTCCAAACCAGAATGTGGCAGAGGGCCAGGGACTCCAGCCCCAGAAACCATGGCCCTCCCAGCCTTCCCTGAGGCTTCAGTGGCAATTTGGTAACTGGATTCCAGAGTGGAAGCAGGAGTTAGCACTCTTTCTGTCACTGTCACATTCTGTCCTACCGCGGCCGCACTGGGCGTGGCCAAGGTGGGCGCAAGGACGCTTTCTCTTTCCCTCACCATAACGTACTGTGCATCCTGCAGATGCTGGGTGCCTCCCAGAGGATGTGGGACGCCCCCATTAGGCTGGATCACTCTTTCAGTCACCACGACATTACTCTCCCCAGCATACTGCTGACCTACCAAGGTGGAAGCTGGCGCATACACCCTCTCCGTCACGACAAGACTCTGGGGCTGTCCGGGACCCAGGACCACAGTGCTTGGTGGCATAGCGGAGCCTGTGGTATAGGACGTTTCTGTCATTATGATATTACCAGAAGCCAGTGGATCAGGAAGAGGTGGCGCCACCTTCTGACCCTGCCTGGAGGATACCGATCTCTCGGTGACTATTTCCTGAGTGAGCTTCTCTGCTTTGGTTTCATGCAAAGGTTTGGGAACTTGAAAGCTGCTGCCAGAGGAGTGGGTATTGTCTGAATTAAACGTGGTTTGCTCATAGAGCGAGTGTGCAGCTCTGGTCAAATTTGTTTCTTTGACAGGTTTTGGCCTCTGCTCAATTTCCATATCCACATCTATTTTTTGACCCAAGCAAACCTCAGCTAGTGTCTTGAATTTAAGTCCCAAATCATCTAAGAAACTGTCGTCTAGTTCTCCTTCAATAAAACTGCAACAGCCAACGGAACCGTGAAGAGATTCTGTTTCTTCCTGAGAGTACACCAGAAGGCAGTCTTTGGCCACGTGAATGTCATCTTCCTCACTGTAGGAAGCTGCCTTCTAAAGTGGAGATAAAAAAAAAGAGGCAAATAATTAGTGATAGTGACTCTATATTTCTGTTTAGGAGTGTTAGGTCTCCAGATGAATCGATCCATGAAATAAATATCCCTGATTATTCCTTATTCTGAAGTCTACTTTGTCTCTAAGCAACACTTTTTCTTTAGTCCTGCTATTAATTATTAATTCCAGGAATGTGTTTCCTTATCGCATCTGAACATTTCTCCTGTAACTCTTCTCATTTTTTGTGAACTCCCCTGACAGTGAAACTAAGCACTATCATATCAAAGGCAAGTTTATTTTATGATAATCAGTGTATGCAAAAATTTTTGTTTTTGGTACCGGGGATCGGACTCAGGTCCTTGTGCTTGCGAGGCAGGCAGCAGAACCACTGAGCTAAATCTCTGGCTCCAGTGTATGCAAAATTTAAATGGATTGAGCTTGTGAGTTTCGGGCCGGGACGTAAATCCGCTGCCTTTAGCCTGCTCCAACACAGGCGTTGTACTTTCTGGCCCACTGACGTCAGGCAGTCACGTGACTTGCCCGATCAATGACGTGGGATTGCAACAAGTGGGGGAGGCTTCATAAGCCATGGCCTAGTTTTGATACTGCTCTTTTCCCAGTGCCACAGAGACACCCGGTGGGTCTCAGCCCTCACTGCCCAAACGTCACAACTAAAAAACAAACAAGAAAACAAAACCCCTCAAAGTCCTATTTAGATCCAAGGTAACGATTACCCTAACAACACCACATTCCCATATAAACACCCCTCACCCTCACACACATAAAAACCAAGCCTTACATCAGAGAAATAATCCCTTAAGAATTCCTCACTGACTGCACCAGCAGAAGCGGCTCGGGCTCCGGTTGCATCTCTGGAAGCCCCCACGGCTCTCACGGTCCGCATGGTCTCAGCACCGAGCTGGGCTCCTGCTGTTCCCGTCGCCTGGGCAGCCGCACCGCTGAGGAGGCTTCTGTGTTCTTCCCATCTCCCGTTCGCCTCGGTCAAGTCATGCTGCACTCTGGAAAAGGAAGCAGAGCTACTTCCTTTCCTGGTGGCTTCCTTGGTTATTGCACCTCCTACTCCATTTCTTGCTGCAAGATTCTCCCCGTGATCCACGGCCAGGAGCGACGGCACCACCTGTGCGCAAGCGCAGACGACACCAGGTCAGAATGGAGGGTCAGGGTGGTTGTCAGAAGGATCGGAGCTAAGTGGGCATAAGACTTCCCCAGAGGTGATTCAGGAAAGATATTCTGGGTTGAATAACTTCTATGTGAGTCTTGTAAAGATCTTCATTCTGCCTTCTTTCATAGCTGAATATAAACCACAAACAAAAACCAAACTTCCTCTACTCTACTGGAGCAAATACCATTTTAACATTCCTCTAGGGTTTCATGCTTTCTGCTATGGTCAAAGAATCCTTAATTTTGTTTTTAGCTGGACACATGGCCATTCAAAATAAGGACTATATTCAGGTGAGGTGGTGCACGCCTGTAATTCCAATACTCTGGGAGGCTGAGGCAGGAGGGTTGTAAGCTTGAGCTCAGCCTGGGCAACTTAGTGAGATCCTGTCTCCAAAAAGGAGGGCGGGAGAGGCTAGGAGGGTGGGAGAGGCTAGGAATGTAGTTCAGTAGAAAGGCCCTGGGTTCAAGCCCCAGTGAAATGGTGTATGCAACTTCATAAATATGTTTACAGAATGGTTCTTCACTCTTCTCCCATCTGCTGGCTTGAATGTGATAGTAGCTAAATATCTAAAATATGAGGACTGCATGGGACCTAAATTCATCAGTGGAGGAGGGGGCAACAAAAGAGAAAGAGCTTGGGGTAGCACGTGAGAGGAATTACTTTACTGATCCTGGACTAGTCATATTTCTGTTTAAACCACTGTTACTTTGAGACTGACACTTGATGCTGAATTATATCCTATTAGGATTGCACATGGCAGATGAAGATGAGAGAGCCAGCATGCAACAGAGAGGAGAGAGTCACATTACATAGGTAAGGGGATCTCACAATGTTTTGCACCGTTCATAAGGGTTGGAGTTTACCTCTGTCATCTGTATGTATGGAGGGGAATGGAAAAGGAGCACTTCCTGGTTGTGAAAAACTTGCCATTTGATAGTGGGATGAAAATTTCTATCCTGGATTCCTACACAGCTTTGTGTCTGTGGTGGTTAGGCTAGACTGTGTCAACTTGAATGGCTTGGGAGTCACCAACGGGACTTGTGGAACACAGTTCTGGGTGTGTTGGGGTGGGTCATGGAGGAGTGACCTTGGGTACTGTATCTGGTCCCTTGCTCTGTCCTCTCTGGCACTGCCCCCCTCCTCTACTTCCTGGCCACTATGAATTACCATCTGTGCTTCACTACTCCCTTCTGCCATGACGTTCCTGCCTTGCAGCCAGCAAACCATGGACTGAATCCCCTAAAACTATGAGCTAGCTCAAATCTTTCCTTCTTTAAATTGTGGATGTCAGGTACTGTTTTGCAGCAATGGGAAAGCTGACTAATACTTTGTCTCTGATCCCTGCTCTATATTCTCTGGGTCACTCCCCAACCATGGTTACATTCTCATAAACACACCACATATCACAGTGCAGAAAAGCACAGCTCTGCCCTGGCAACCAACACAAAATATATTGTCATTAGAAATAAAGGCAGGTGCACAAAATCTGTAATGACTACTGTTGGAAAAGCAATCTGCTTTTGATCTGCTGTCACAACACTATAATCAATACAGACTTCTGTGACCTCACAAGTGTTTCTTGTGAGGATTTCTCCCCACCAGCAAGCAAGCAATCAATTCTGCAGCATACTCCAGTTAGGACCCTCTAAGTCTATGTACATCTACCCGGGGATGGTGATAGATCTCAGGCTGAGAGGGCTTGGTCCCCAAGACACTTGCCCCTTCTCCTTTCAGATATCAAGAAACTATCCTTCCAAGATTCCAAGGACTTTTGGAGTTGTACAGCACGAAATGGGAATGAACATCAAATGTGTATCTCACAATAGTACAATGATATTACTCTCTCATGACCAAAGACATCAGAAACACCTCCCAAGCCCTTTAAGATCAGAAAAGATGACACGTTGCCCTGACGTGACCCAATGAACCGACCTTGTCTTCAGGTGGCGCCCCTTCATTGTTCCAAGGATGCAGCATCTCTATAGTGCCAGGTATGGGGGTGAAGCCTTTGGCGCCCTCTCCACAATGACACAGCAGCAGCAAAAGTGGCACAACTGCACGGAAGCAGAAGTGAGTATGAGAAGGTCAGCCCTCACACATTTCTTAACATGAGCTGTATAAGTGGAGAATTCGCACATCACTTTTTTCAGTGGGATTTTTTTTACCCTGATCCAACCTCTCCAAGCTTGTTTTGGATGAGTTATACCAAAGCCCGAGGGCAGAAGAAGAGAGACTTACAGGCGTAAAGGCCTAGTTCCTCACAGAGACTGTTTATGGTACTGGGTGGAACATCATGACTGTATGTGATAATATGCAAATTAGCAAAATTAATATAAAGATTAAAAGAATTTTTTTGTAAATTCACCATCCAAAGAGAGATATATTACAAAGACCAAAAGCTCTTGAAAATAATTTTAATTTGTTCAAATATTCTAGAACACTGAAATCTTCAAAATATTTTACCTTAGAGTGGAATTTTGCACAAGGCATGGCTCTCTGAGATCTCAATTAACTTTTTCTTTTTTTGGTACTGGGGATCAAACTTGGGACCTTGTGCTTGCGAGGCAGGAGGTGGCACCACTGAGCTAAATCCCCAGCCCCAATCTCAATTAACTTTTGAATTATCTGAGCACTATTTCCACATGATTCTGCACAGGCACTGCAGCTACTGTGATTAATATAGAGATTGAAGTCAGCCAGTGGCAATTCAACAATTTCAACCTATTCAATATGCATTGATCGAATGTCTATCATGTGCCAAGAGTCACACAAGGCTCTAGGGAATCCGAGAGGAGAAGGCCATGCAAGGATCCCCCAGGGAAAAGCTGCAGTCCCAGCTCCAGGTCCTACCTACAAACATGGTAAGCTGAGACGAGCCATTTTCTCTTACGGGTCTCTATTTGTAATTACCCATGAAATGCAGATAGTGGTACACAGGTGCACTGTAAACTGTTGAGTGCTGTGTATTCCATTGGACCCCTGCTAATGGCTTTATCGGGCTCCCCCTCCCTCACTGAGATGGTCCAGGCTGTCTGCAAGGACGTGCTCTGCCTAGGTTCAGGGTCTAGTGGAGTGAATTCCACACAACACCTGCTGCAGTCTTTTCTGCTTTCATGAAAGGAAACCCCGGTGTCTGGAGGGCAGGCAGGGAGCAGACCAAGCAGCGGATGTCAGGGAGGCAGAGCTCTGACGAGGTGAGTGCGCAGTCAAGATCACCTGAACAAACTTGTGCAACAACCTTTTATCTGTATTCCCAATTCATGCAGCAAGTCACTTCTGAGGACCTACTATGTGCAGGGCACTGTTCTGGGTGCTTGGGAAAGAGCAGAGAAGAACAGACAGCATCCTATGTGCCTGAGCTTATCCAAAGAAGGACACCAGCAATGTTTATGGCAAAAGGAGCTTGAGGACCATGCAGTGCCTTGGTTTTTAAAAAATCAGAATACATCTGTGTAAGACAAAACTCTGAAAAAGTGCTTGTTATGGTTTAGAGCCAGAATGTCCCCCAAAGCCTCCTGTGTTCAGAAGTGGGACTTTTGGAAGGTGCCTGGATCCTGGGGACACTACGTTCCTCAGCAGCGGAGTGTGCTGCTTGCGGGAGGTGGTCTGGTGCAGAGGTTCACTGGGGCGGGAGCTGGCGGCCATGTCTTCCTTCTTGTTCCTCCCTTCTCGCTCTGCCTCCCGGTTGCCCCAGGATGTCCAGCTCTCTTCTGCCCAGCCCCTTCCACCACGCTGTTCCTGCCTTGGAGCCAGCTGACCCTGGGCTGAGAACAGGAGCCAAAATAAACCTCTCCTTCCTTAAGATGTGGGTGCAGACTATTTTGTCCCAGTGATCGGAAGTGACTAAGAGAGCCCTGTAATATGACTTGGTGAACTTATCAATTATCAGCGACTGTTTTTCCTTACCCTCAAATGTGTTCAAGAATCACTGTAAGGAAATCAATGACTACTATAGTAAGAAACTGCCAGTAGTGCACTCCAATTACCACAGGAGCTAAAGAGGGGCTTTTAAGACTTACTCAGCAAGAGCAGAAGGGCCAAAATCATGAGTGCCACCGCTGCGGGCCCCAGGCCCACGTAGGAGCCACGCTGCGCCTCCACACAGCCACTGCCCTGCAGGCACTCGCAGACCATCAGCTGGAGGACCTGCTGCTCTGGGCAGCTGAAGCCCTGATTGTCCGAAATCAGCAACGGGATTTCACTTCTCCCGAGCTGGCGTTCACCCTGCTGTAGCAGCACACTGGTACCTACGGGGATAGGAGAGGGAAGGTGGTGAGGACGAGTGACTTCCAAGCAAAGGGAGAGACCAGATTACAGGAGTTCCTGACAAGGCCCCAGTTGGAAGTTTCGTTTTTCTTTAACTCCTTATGACTGTACGCTGTGCACATGTTAAAACTTACCACAGACTTCGAATACACAGCTTAAATGGCCAAGGGTCTGATTTGGACCTTCTGTTTTCATGATGATGAGTTTAGCTAATATGTGTGGCCCACCAAGTGCCAGGCACTGTTCCCTACAGTGCGAATACAGTGGCAAGCCAGAGGTGAGTTAGGTAACACTAGATGGCTTTGATCTTACCGTTTCTTCTTCTTTGTTTCTTAGTGGTGCTGGTGATCAAATCCAGGGCCTAGGCAGGCACTACCGCTGAGCTACATCCCAGGCCTTAATTTACCATTTCTTAAATAAATCAATAGTATGTAGCAGTTTTCAAATGCAGACAATAACAGAAGAGCATCACCTCCGTGGTATCCATTCCCAGTCTTAATAATTTTCAACAATGGCTAATCCTGTCTGCTCTAGTTCCTTCCTTTTTGTTCCCAATGCTATGTATGGAAAATTTTTTTGAGGGGGGAGTACCGGGGATCAAACTTGGATCCTTATGCTTGTGGGGCAGACAGTGGAACCACTCAGCTAAATCCCCAGCCTTGTATTCAAAATTTTGAAAACTTCAAATCTACAAGGTTAAAAGAATATTATAGTGGATACTGATATAGCCTTCACTAGTTGTGCACATTTTGCAATGATACATTCTCTCTATACATGCATAATTTGGAAAAAACTTTCTGAACTATTTTGAGGTAAATTACACATAGCAGGACAACAGTGTGGACTTGCTAAGATGCCGGGATATCAGTGAAAAATATATTATTGATATAAAAATACTACTTAGTGTATAACTCATTGGCAAACATTTCAATTGTCATAATGTCCTTTCACAATGGCCTATAGGTTTCTGTCCACTTTCTCTTTTGATCCTAGATCCAGCTAGGGGCCACACATTTCTTTAAGTTATCACATCAGTTCCTATTCATCTGGAATAACCCAGTCTCTCTTTTGGTATTTCAAGACCTTCACATATTTAAAAGCCACTTATTTCAGACTATTCCATGGTTTGAATTTGTTTGACTGCTTCCTCATCACTGGATTCTGGTGACACATTTTTGGCAAGAAGATGACACAGAAAGTGTTCTGTGAATGACCTCTTATTTTATCTTTATTCTTTTTTTTTTGGTTTTTTGAGACAGGTTCTTGCTATGTAGTTCAGGCTGGCCTTGAACTCACTATGTGGCCCAAGCTGGTCTCGAACTCACGGTGATCCTTCTGCTTCAGCCTCCCAAGTGCTGGGATTATGGGCGTGGGCCACCACACCCGGCTGATAGTTTCTTTTGAAGTATGAAATAGCTTCTCATTTTAAGTTCCAAATTTGATGGAATTTGGTCTGTGTGGTTAGAAACAAATGTTTACAATGATCTCTCAGGCACTGGGGGATTTGTCTAAGAAGTATGAATTCAGGAACACCTGGCCTGGAAGATTACAACCGTGAAATTTGGAGAAAGCGGCTTCTGTAACTCCAGCTTTCTTCTCCACTGCTACACAATAAGGTGTTGATTCAGCTCCTCAGATTCATGAAATCAAATGCACAATGGACTCTGAGGAGGGTAAATGAGGAGAAGGCGCTTTCCAGTCTACCAGTTATCACTTTGGAAATAAGAAGGTTGACTTAAATACGACAAATTGTTTATCTTCTTTCAATTGTGAGCAGTAAGAACAAGAATGTCTGGCTTATTCGCCTATGGAATTCTCTGTATTTAAAAATTTTCCCAGGTAAATAAAAACAGATGGAAGCTACTGCTTATCCCAATAATTGTTGACTGGTTACCTTCTTACATAGCCATGAAGAAAGCCTGGTTACAGAGTCCTCTTTCTCTCAATGGCATCATCACACAAAGAACAATCTCAGTGACTTCCAGTTAGAATTCTGTGACACAGGTCCCAAAGAGTTTTATAGTCCTAGGACTATGACAATTCAAGAACTCAAATCCTAACTCCAGCTCTTAATAGCTGTTGTCTTGGGAATGGGTAAATCTTGTGTGCCTTTGTTTCTCTATCTATAATACACTGACGATGGTAACACCAAACTTCTAGAGCTGTTAATATTAAAAAATGTTTAAAACAATGTCCAGCATCTCCTAAAAGCCACCTATTTCTTAGAGAAAATAAGTCCATCTTGGGATTCCAGCAAGTTCAATATGAAATTCATTTAGATATCCATCAAACATTTATCCTGGTGGGAGTCCCAGACTTGGCTGAGTACGAGCTGAACACTTTCAGGTTTGGAGGCCTGTGATGAAGAATCATCCGGTCCTAGACCCAGGTCTCACACCAGCTGAGAAACGTGATCTTAAGGAATCTCAACTGATCACAGTGGTGACTGTTGTCATTCATAGGGAGGCCAACCTTGGCTAACCTTGGGCATAACTAACTGCTTCAATGGAGTACATTGTGTTTGTGTCTAGATGTCCCCAAAGCCTCATGCAGTCTTGGGGGTGCTTTTTAGAGGTGGCTGGATCTAGAATGTGTGATGCTGGGATCAAGGGTGTATGATTACTAAACCAGTCCACTGAGTGGTCTGGTACAATTCTAGCTAGGATTAAGGGTATGAGTGCTACAGTTGAACTAGGGCAGGTAGATTGCTTAAAATATAAGGAACAGAAAGAGGTCTAATGTGCTCTTGCCTGCCTGCTTACCATGGATTGTTTCTCCTCTGTGATGCCCCTCTGCCATGCCACCCTGCCTTGGAGCCAGGTGACTATGAACTGAAACCTCTACAAACTGAGCTAAGTAAACCCTTCCTCCTTTAACTTTGGATGTCAGATAGTTTGTCTCAGCAACGAGAAAAGTAACTAAGACATACATATATCTCAAGAAGACCCAGTATTAAACAAAAGCATACTTAAGCAAATCAGGCACACTTTTAAAATATTTTTGTGTTGTCAGGAATTTATATTTGTTTTATTATACTTATAAAATGTCTAGGAAAAGTAGCCCCATTAGCATGACAGCTTTGTAACTCCAATTTAATATGTTTGATTGTATTACTGACACAGATTTATGGTTTTAGGTTGAAACATCACTATTTTGTTCAGTATTAAGACTTAAGAGAATTCCAGGTTCAATTTATTGGAAATATTTATTTATTTTAAAAATTAATTTTATTGGTACATTTTAGGTATTTATTTATTTATTGAGACAGGGTCTCATTATGTAGTTCAGCCTTGAACCCATGGCAATCCTCCTGCCTCTGCCTCCTCAGTGCTGGGATTACAGGGATATTCCACCATGCCCAGCTAATTTATTGGAATTTTAGAGAATAAGGAACATAGGGAAGATTTATTGTCAATTCAGATCATTGAAATATATAAAGAAAAGGAAACCAAATATACTAAATTTATAATGCAGTTTGAAATGCAGAAGGTATTTAACTTGTAAATTGGACCAAACATTATTCAAAGCCTCTAAAAGGGTTGTAAACATTTGCCAGACGTAAATACTACATTAAACCTGTAAACTAAGAAAAACCTGAGTACTGTATTTGAAAATTCTCTGAAATAAACACTGATCCCCCTACCTCCCTGCCCTGGTACTGGAGATCAAACTCAGGACCTTGCGATAAACACTGATTTTTTTAAAACACAAGTCTTCTGGAGAGACTTTCCACCTTCAAGCCCATTTTAAAGGTCATACAAAGGCTCATATCGACAAGCGGACACTTCTGACATAGGGACACAGGGATGTGTCCATGGGCACACTGGTGTGTGGGGCATCAGACAGCACATCTGTCTTGCTGTCCATCACGTACTGATTTTTTTTATTTTTTATTTTTTCCCCATTAACTTTATTGGTACATTTTAGGTATAAAATACAGTAACATTCATCATTGGGATCTTGTACCATTACATGAGTCTCTTGGTTCTTATTTTTTT